TAGTAGTAGTGTGTGGTGTGTGTGTGTGTGTGTTTTGTGTGTGTGTGTGTTGTGTGTGTGTTGTGTGTGTGTGTTGTGTGTGTGTGTGTGTGTGTGTGTGTGTGTGTGTGTGTGTGTGTGTGTGTGTGTGTGTGTGTGTGTGTGTGTGTGGTGTGTGTCATGTAGCTAGCTGTAACGCCTGTACTACATGTATCTCAAGACTGCACTACTGGGTCACCACGGTCACGGCGAAGTATCTCGCTCGCTCTCCTTGCCGTAACCATGGTAACCAACTTTTAGTGAGTTTTACTTGCGTAAGTCTTCAGCGCTTTGCGCTGGCATGGTGCCAGTGGTGGCCGGCTCTCGCGGCTCGTGTGTGCGCATTTCTGGTTGCCATGGTGCAAGAAATTCGGCCCTCCTAGACCAGCGTCCCTTTACTGGCTTTAGTAACTATTACTAGTATTAGTATTACTTTAGGCTACGGTAGCTTTACAAATTACAGCTTGTAAACCTGGTCACCTGGTCACCATGGCCGTATGGTCACTCAAATCAAGTACAGTAATTAGTTGAGTCTGGAGACGCTGAGACGCTGAAAAATCCGAGCTAGCTGAAAGCTACATACAGCTACAACGACGTGTACCAATGGTATAACTAGCCAGTACTGTGGCAGCAGAGCACTCCCTTTGATTTGAGGGATTAGATGGGCTCAGATCAGACACAGCATGCATGGCACGTGTTTCAAGCATGCTGTACAACTACATGACTGTGCAAGTAGACATGCAACTACAAAAACTTTTTGTAACTTGAGCTATTTAAAACTATTATGCCTATGCCTATGCCTATGCCTATGCCTATGCCTATGGACCTTATGGTGCTCGAAGTGTTGACCACTAAGTCTGTCTAATGCAGTGATGGGAATCAACGCGTGTGAAAAGACAAGACGTCAAGAGACCTACATGTATATACATGTAGGTCTCTTGACGATCAATTCTGGGTGGCCTTATAATTATTTATATAAATAATTATAAGGCCACCCAGAATTGATTCGTTGTTTCGGGTCACCCGACCGACCGTCTTTTTTCACCGGACCGGAATTTGTTTTTATAGTGCATGCAAATGTACATGTACATGACTAGAATATTAATTTTACACACGCGATCAGTCCGGACATCAACCTCAGAAGCAGCCAACTGGCAGGATGCAGCGCTTGGTGACGACGTTGTCTTCTATCTCCGATCCGCAATCGGTCCTGAAACAGCATTAGCTCCGCCACCGCGTCGCTCATTGACAGAAGTTTTCAAGGTGAGAGCTGCTCGTCAGACTCGTTTGCCGGTGAGGCCAAGATCTGGTCCTGGACTGGAGGGGTCGGGACCTGGATCTGATGGGACAATGGCTGCGCTGGATCGTCTCCTGTCAGATTTGATCGACTGCCTAGATGGACAGAAGCTATTCGATATGCACAACTGTACATGTATGCACATGGCCGTTACCAAAATAAAAAATAAAATAAAAAATAAATCCGACCGACCGACCCTGGTACGGATGAGTGAAGTGACCCGAAACAACGAATTAATTCTAGGTGGCCTAAGAGTAAGATGCACTTTTTACCTGAGTCCTGAGTGAGTCGTTGGTAGTCGATAGCAATGCCTTCTCTACAGTGCAACGGTTGTGGCTCATCGAGCACAGCTCTAAAATTTGTCTCCTGCCTGCACACGCTGTGCGTACCCTGTCTGCAGAACAGTATTTCGTTTGACGGATCAATCAAATGTCCGAAATGTTTGTCCATGACTCCACCGCCTGTGGGTTTCGAGCCATTGCGATCGCTCCCTAATTCTGTGGTCCCTGGAGATTCTGTAGCGGGAGACGAGACGCAGGGGAAACCCTTGTGTGAAGAGTGTGGAGATGACACCAGAGCCAGCAGCGGGTGTGAGAACTGCCAGGTGAAAATGTGCGATGTTCATGCTGCTGCTCATCCATTATTCAAAGCCACTAAGGGACACACCGTCAAGCCTTTGTCCCAAGTGGAGCGAGCCTTGTCCTCTGCAGGATCGACCAGCAGATCTGCTACACAGCACAGGTGTGTGATGCATACAAGTGAGTTCGTTAATAGATTCTGCGTGCAGTGTAACCAGTTGCTGTGTCCAAAGTGCAAGCAGGCACATTCACACAAGAAAGATCATCAAGTCTTGGATATAGCCAGTGCTGGTCAAAAGACTCGCGATATGCTAGCAGATAAGCTTGGCAGCAGTACATCAACATGTGATGGCATCATAGCCCAAGCATTGAGCAATGTTCAAACAAACATTCAGAAGCTCAATGACCAAACAGAGCAGGCGTCGGGAAAAGTCAACCAATTCTTCAAACTGCTGATCGAGGCAGTTGAGAAGCGCCAAAATGATCTCCTTGCAGAGCTGGATGACATGCGATCCAAGAAGATGCTGTCATTGGAGGAACAACAAAACCGACTTCAAGACTGTGTATCGCAAGAGGAGAGTGCATCGGATATTGTGAAGTCATTCACTGACGATGTTGAGCTGCTCCGTATATGGACATGGGTCGACGCGTCATTGAACAAAGTGATGCGAACAGCTGAAGAAGAAAAAGTGCCATGTGTGTCCAGTGGACTTGTGTTTGCCAGCACTGACATCACACAACTACTGAATGACATTGGCAAGTCTGGTACTGTACTGGATGTAGCTGATCATGCTGTACTGGATTGTCCAGACAAAGCCACGACTCGTGATGATGTCATACTTACTGTTGACATGACGTCATCACCTGATGCTGACCCTCCCAGTGCTACCAATTCTCCTGGGTGCAGTGTGAGTCAGGATCAACTCGACAACATCGGACTGGAGATTTCCGTATGCAATCTTGACGTGGACGACTTTCCATCTGTGCGTACTCGCTGTGAATCATTACCTGGCCGTGTAGAGATTGGAAGTGATAGATTGGCAGCTGGTAGCTACAGTGTATCGGCTATGATCGGCAACAGGCACATTCAAGGCAGTCCACAGGAACTCATAGTAACATCTACTCCCAGTACTTCCAGTCAGCCACTGTTTGATAACAGTCGATGTGGTAGTGGATTGAAAATCACTAATGATGGTCGCACACTGAGTACTACCGGTGGTAGTTGGTTATCAGCATGTACCACACCTATGGTGACTGGTACTGGTAGCAGTACACTGAAGGTGACGATTGACAAGACTAGACTTGGTGATATCTTCCTCTCCGCCTGTTCAGCCAGTAATCCAAACCTGGAACACTGCCAACAGGACAAGGCACAGTGTTTTGGTTGGTACGGCTTTTGTGATGGTGAGTACCACACCGGAAGAGCCCTTGGTCAACGGTGGCAAACTGGTGACATCATTCATCTCACAGTTGATCATGATCGTCACACTCTCACTGGTAGACACGAGAAAACGGGCGCCACAGAAACCATCCCGAACGTCACAGGTAACCTGTATTGGATTGTGACACTCCTTGGCAGTGATGAGCAAGTGTCGGTGGAGTGAGAAAGAAAGAATTGACTTAATGACAAAATTCCAATAATTTTATGAGCTGGACCAATCCACCAACAGCGGCCACCGCGATGTAGTCAGCATTGTTTTGGACAGAAACCAACTCCTCATTTGCTTGCTTTCTACTCGTCCTCAGTCTGCCTCGAGCAAAGCCCTTCCAGTTCCTGCTGCTGCTGCTGCTGCTGCTGCTAGTTCGAAGTACTTGTGTCTCTTTCAACTACAAGCCAAGCTTGATAGTTTTGCTGCTGCCTACTTGCTTTCTCCTCTCTTGGACAATAATTATAGTAATTGCATAACAAGTACTTCTACAATATACGCTCATATCACAAACATTGGAAGAAAAACAGTTTGTATCCCGAACGTATTCTCGCCACAATCATCAGTGGCAAATCGTGACTAAAGTGAAATAGGAAACAACATTAGGATGTACATTTGGAAAAGACATTCGATCCGTAGCAAATGCGAAAGGTCCCTAATGACTGTGCCGATCGGATGTGTAGATGTGCTGAGAGAAGCTGTCCCATTCCTTGCTGCTAATTATTATTGACTCAACATCCGAGTTTCAAATTACACATGTGATGAGCCGTCTCGAACCATGCGGCGAAACGTACGTCGTGTGAAACTACTTGTTTTGAAGACAACTAGTCCAGTACAATGTTATGCATTAGGAGTACTGTAGTCTGCAGGGGTTTGGTGTTCGGTTCTGTACAACGCTTCCTCTTCTGTACTTATCTTTAATATCTCTGAGCCACCCAAGTTGGGTGCTGTACTGCTTTGAATTGTAGTTAGACCGCTTTGTCAAGTATCTTACAGGTCTCGGGACTTTAGCCTGCACCCATCTTTTTAGGGCTGTTGGTTTGCGCTTCGGAAATGTTTTGGAGCTAGTAGTCAGGTCATCGAATTTCTTAGAGCTCTGTCAGTTGTGAGCCTAACAGTTAGTTGCTGCACATTCTGCCTGTATATGCTTCAAGTAGTACAATTCATGTATATAGTTACAGTGGTAGACACTGGACAACTACTCTTAACTCCTATCCATATGTCCCTTTCCCTTCTACATTAATAAATAACTTGTATTGGCTGAACATCCCAATACTATCCTTTCTTATCGTTATTCAAGGAATCCTTTGTCACAAATTTTACAAATGAGTTGTGGGCCGGAGCTTGCGGGCCAGTACTTGTTTTGAAAGGCTTATGCTGTTCATCAAACTGGAGGAAAAACAGCTGAAACAATGATTATGTGGATACTTCTTGAAACCATAACACATGAGATAAGTATGCGATCACGCCAATCAGTGGCGTGAGTGCCTGATAGTGAGGTACCGGGAATATTTTATGAAGGATTAACGATAGAGATCTGTGGATGATGTCATGATGGAATAGTAAAATTCTAGTTCAGATTAAATAGTACTGATTGGGTGATTTCTTGTATATAATGTTGCCTGAAGTATTCCTTTAGACATTGTGATGAAGTTCTGTTCTGTTTAGCAGGCTAGACGTGCCAATGGTCTGTGCGGTGTTGCCGTGGTCGTTGTGTGCACTGCACCGAAGCAGGCGCGGGTTGACACCCAGGAAGCTGGCGGCGCTCACTTTCACCTTGCAGAGCCGCACGTCCTCGCCATGGTGCTTGATGGCACGGCAGCCCAGCACTCGACGCACCCAGGACGCGTGTGCGCGAGGGGACAGCTGCTCGCCGTCGTACGTCCACTGCACCTGGTCGTTGCGCGGCAGTGGATAGCCGGTGACGAAGCAGCCTAGGATCCTGCGCGTCCCTGAATTCGCACCGCTCGTCGTGGACACTCCCATTGCCGAACAGTTCCGGAAGCGGCACAGCACATCCTGGATTACTGCTGTTAGAGGTCCTGTGGACAGGTGAAATACAGAGAAGAATGCGAGAACTTGTGAGTTATAGCGAATCTCAACAATATGCAGAGGCAAATACGTATGCAGGAAACTGGCACGTGATGTCTATGCGAATCAGCATGGTTAAAATTATGCAACCTGGCGTGTTCAAAAGAATTTCCACTAGAGATCGTCATGCACTCAGTGTGAAAGAACTTACGGGTAACATTGAGTTTGAAGCACGACTGCACCGGTTGCTTTTGTGCAGCACCGACACGTATACAATGCTGGTCATCCTTGAGAGGCATGACTTGGTGGTTGCGACGGTTTGACAGGCGAATGTGATTGTGGGCCTTCGGTGAGCTGTTCGTTCCACGCGCCTTGATGAAGTCGGGTGCCTGGATGTGCACGTCGGCTACTGGAATGGTCGTGTTGCACTTTGCACGCATGCTGTACGCCGTCGGTGGTGCCCGGTGGGCATAGAACGCATATGCCTTCAGTGCGACGTCAATCACCGGTGGACATTTGACATCCAGACCTATGGAAGCATCCGCAGAAAGCAGAACTGGGTATTAGTGCAAAGTGAAAGGATGAATCATGAAAAGTGTAAAGCTATAGAAATTGTAGCTTATGGTAGACTTTCTATTGTATGGGAAAGCAATAAACAGACTTATTAAGTCAGTATAATTCGGCTGTAAGCTGATGTCTATAGTCTCGGGCAAGACTTACTTGTTGTGAGGACTGTTCTCTGGCTTGACCGGGTCTGCGATCCACGCTTCGTCGTAACCGTGATCCGGTGCTGCTGGTGCGGCTGCAGGTTGTCGAACGAGACGGAAGTCTCGCCGGAGAGCACACGCTTGCCGTACATGAAGTCATGACTCACAACCGACACCTCGGTAACGAACGGTGTCCGCGCGCCGCCATTGCCCTCGCCGTCGCTCAGCAATGTCCAGCTGTACGTGACGGCGTTGTCCGTGCTCTCCACGCTAGTGATCACCGGCTGCGGTGGCGGATCCGAGTGCACCGGCTTATTAAGCGGCCACTTCAATGCGATAGCACGAGCGCTGCTTGGTGCCGAAGCTGTCCGTCAGCAGGCAGTGCTCTCGGTTTTGGTCCAGGTTGACGCGCTCAAAGTGGATCAGGAAGCGGTAGCCGTAGGCGTGGGCTCTCGCCGTAGCCACATGTGGTGCAGCTGCTCCTGCAAGTGCGTGGTGCTGATGGTGGTCAGAGGGGCCACGTCTACGTTGCACGTCACCGTTGCTGAGCCGCCCACCTCCAGCCTGGTCACGTCCGGTGTGCACGATACCTGTGCCGGTTCTGTATGTACAACAAAAACCAAAAAAAGAATATGCGAATTAACACAAAATACCTACATACTTTCGGATTTTCTACCTTTCATCTCCTCAAACTGATGAAGTAATGCACATGATTTGCGAGCATGCATTGGTTTCCAACATATTTCTGAATACGGACACTGGCACTTTGCATGTTGAAGCAGGCTGTGTGTAGGAGTGGCGAAATACTATTTTTAGAACACTTCCCTGCTTGATAGCTGACTAGCAATCAACTATAGACAAGTGGCCAATCAAGATATCAGATCAGGCCGGACTAACTTGCACCCAACAGTTGGAAAGATCGCATTTAGCAACGGGTATTGATGTGGATATCAACTGTGTCCGTCTCTGTGGCCCTTCGCTAAACGCAATTCCAGAGGGCACGTTCTTTCACTGCCTTTTGCCTTTGGGAGCGATTCCGACAGACGAACCTTCACATGCGCCTGCTATGCATTGTACTGCTTTGTTGCCTCGGGGTCAAAGTTTATCTCATCGGAACCAGCGAACTTCCATCGCACTCCACAAAGTACACAGTCATACATGTAGCTACTCACTTCGATCGCACTCAAGCCAGGCAATGTGATTTCCCGGAGGAATGTTCGAAATTGTAACGCGGACGTTACTAGTACGCCCTACTCGTACTTACCTACATAATGTATTATATAACCCAATGCTTGTCGCAACCACTATTTCAATACCAGTACAATACTAGTATTAGATAAACCTTGTTATAGTTCACACATGTTGTTAGTTTGACTGTTTCATGCTGTCAAACTAACAACTAGTACTTATCCGTATCAGAGGGTGCCGGGTATCATACAGGCGTAGGAATAGGGCCTTTGTAAATAGCTGCCGTTCTTTGCCAGTACGGTGATGTTTCTGTGGGCTCTTTTACCTAGGGGTTTTTGTCTCTTTTTCGTGCTCCAGTTGATTTATACTTTTTATTTTGTGTTAAATACTAGCATTTAAATTGATTTTTGTACTTCAAAGTATTTTACTGAATTTGAATTTGTTTGTTGATATGTGCAATTCATTTTTCCCGCACAAGAGGCTTTACTAGTACTTACCTGCGGAGGCATTGGTTGTGAGAGTTACCACCTCACCCTCGCTGTTAGGCGCTGCATCTGCCACCCTCGTATCACAAGCATGGTGGTGGCCTGGCACGAGCGAAACTTCCTAAGCTGGCAGAGAGCCTACAGGTCCAGTCTGTTAACACACACACACACAAACGCGCACGCGCTCACCCACGCACGCACACGCACACACCATTGACCATTTGACGCCCATCGCCAGAGGCAATGATAGTGGTGCTGGGATTGCACCATTCAACAGCTTGATAGTATAATTAGGCCCTTGATAGAGATGAAGACCTTGCCGCGGAGCCGATTGGAATCCATAACGTAATGCATGAATTCCACTGATAGACGACGACATTTCTGTACAACTTTCCGCTTGACACGGTTCTCCTGTGGAGTGTGGCGAAAAGAAAGACCATTGGCAAGCAGTCGTCCATGTCACGGAGTGCATCCACAAACGTAGGGTAGCGCTCACGGACGATGTGACGCACACACACCTTTGGACCTTCGGATGCCCATTGCTCCGTGCAATGATAGCATCAGGAGTTGCAGTATTTCCTGTGGCGAGTTAGATCGTTGGGCCGACGGAAGTCCCTGCCACAGCCGCAAATGAACACTCTAGGCTTTGGCACAGCCGGCCGGGGACGATTGCACATGAGGCGCCAGTCTCGTCTGTCCTGCGCCAAGTCGCACCAGTCACCTGTCACGCACCGAGCACTCAGATCAGCAGCGGCGATGTCCCTCCAACGTTTCTTGGGACCATGTCTGGGCCTTGTGTTGAGTCCCTCAGCATGCACGCACGCACACACACACACACACACACACACACACACACACACACACACACACACACACATCACACACACACACACACACACTTTGACCTTGACCTTGCCCATTGCGTAGCAATGATAGCGCATTGCTGTTTCTCCAGTCCACGACAGAATGACTGATGGTGTTTCAGGTCTCCGCTTCGACGGAACATGAGGCCGCAGGCGCAACCGTAGTCAGCAGCAGAGGGTGCCTTGGGTGGTCGACGGGCAATGGCACGCCACTCCAGACGGTTCTGGGTTGCATCGTACCATCCACATGTTGGTACCGGTGGATCAACCGACGCAAAGTCATCCATAATGACGTCCCTCCGCCTCTTGCGTGGACCATGCGCGGGGCGCGGGGCAGGCAGTTCACCGAAGAGAACACACTTCGGCAACCGGTGATCTTCCATCCGTACCACGTGTCCAAGCCAGCGCAAACGGCGTTCCCGAACGATGTGACCAGTGTCCTCAGGCCCTCCAAGGGTCTTTGCATGGGCTGTGGACGTTGCGTGGGTCTCCCATTGCTGCCGTCGCGACACTCCAACGATAGATCTGACACATTGATGGTGGAAGAGGTTGAGGTGCCGTAGGTCCGGAGCCTTCGTTGTCCAGGTCTCCGCGCCATACAGGAGAGTAGAGAGCACCACGGCAACATACACGCGACGACGACACTGCAGACTCAGTGACCGGTTCTCGAACACGGCTTGTTTCAAACTACCAAAGGCTTTGGATGCCTTGCCAATGCGGGCCTGGACGTCATGGGAGGACAAACCATCGCGGTGTATGGCACTGCCAAGATACGTGAATGATTCCATAGAATCTATGGCTTCACCGTCCATCCAGTGCCATTGGCGCATTCGTCGGAGTGTTCAGACACACACACACACACACACACACACACACACACACACACACACACACACACACACACACACACACACACACACACACACACACACACACACACTCCATTGTGCATAATATTATTATAAACAAATTGATCATACCTGGTGCCTTTGGCAATGCTGCTGTGGGCTTTGCTCCTGCGTCCTGGGAACGATAATCCTGCTCATTCAAAGTGCTACGTATTTTGCTGCTAGCACTGAGATGAACGGCTGCTGAAAATGTTATTGCGTCTGCGTTGTTGTGACTGCTTTTGCTACGCTGCCTGCTCTTCTTGGCATTGCTGCTGGCTACGAGTTCTGGCAAGAGTCCATAAGCTCTTGCAGTCTTCTGTCTTCAAGGCAATTGGTACTGCACTGGCAGAATTATTAGAAGCGAAAAAGACATCATCGAAAGAAGTAACTGTTACCATGGTTACTCAAGACTGCACTACTGGGTCGCCATGGTCCCGGCGAAGTGTCTCGCTCGCTCTCCTTGCCGTAACCATGGTAACCAGGTAACTAATTACTTACTTTGCGCTGGTGCCGCGCCAGTGCGCCGTGGTGGCCGGCTATAGTATAGTACATGACTATAGAGTATAGTATCGCTAGGCTCTCGCGGCTCGTGTGCGCGTTTCTGGTTGCCATGGTGCAAGAAATTCGGCCCTCCTAGACCATGTAGACCATGATGTAGACAAGGTAGACCAGCGTCCCTTTACCATTGTTTACAGTTTACTAATACTACTAGTACTATCAAGAGTCCATAACCCAAGAGTATGCAACTGTGATCTCTTTTCTATGGGCCAGATGCGCGGCGCGCTGCCTTCATTAGACATTACATCATTCAGCTGCAGTCCGCGCACTGCGGAAAATCAAACACCGCACTTTCCCTCCAGTTTGAAATGAACTTTCGTACGGAACTGGAGAGTGGAGTTCACGCGCAGAGATTGTGTAGGTACTGGAACGAATCGAGCAAAACGGATGGGCTCGTGCGAGAAATTGAGAGTTTGAATGCATGCTTTCAGAGCGTGATGATTCACTGACTAGTGATGAAGGCAAGTAACTTAGTTACGTAATGAAGGCAGCGCGCCACGCATGCACCCATAATCACTGCACAGTTGCATACTCTTGGGTTATGGACTCTTGGTACTAGTTCATGTACTAGGCTTTACTTGTCTTTAGCCTTTTACTTTTTAGTTTTAGGCTAGCTTTACACTTTAAGGGCCGATTCCCACTACGGTACCGTGAGTGCCGTGCCGTGAGTACCCATGGTGATTTGCTCACGTGAGGGGCAGTTTTGGCGCGAGTTCATTCCGTGGCTCCTGCCGTACCGCGCCGTGGACATTCCGGTGCCGAGGGTCTCTGGGGGGTGGAAATGGCATGCCGTGGTATTCCGTGAGGTCGAATGCAGTGAGTAGTAGGTATTTTACTACTCCCTGAAAGGAAGTTTTTTCTTTCTTTTGTATTTGTGGTACGAAGTTTTTTCTTGGCTTTTGGCTTTTCGATTGGTTGATTCTTGAGCTTTCTCCAGTCATCTCCCCCGCTATTTTCCCTCAGGACCAAAGTCAGAAATTGATAAAAATGGTGATCCGGCCTGCCGACGGAATGCACGGAATGATTGTGCGCAGGTGTAAATCACTCTCAGCTTCAAGCTCGTACCGTGGGGTACACGTGACCTACCCAAATCGTCGGCACGGCACTCACGGTACCGTAGTGGGAATCGGCCCTTAAGCCTGTAAACCCGGTCACATGGTCACCGTGGCCGTATACGCGTATGGTCACTCAAGTCAAATAATTGGTTGAGTCTCGAGACTCTGAAAAATCCGAGCTAGCTGAAGGCTAGCTACTTCTTTTGTACGAGGTGAATAGCAATTTCTGGACATGAAAATAAAATAGAGGCCCACTGGCTGTGTGTTTTACATTTTTCATATCTTTTTGTATCTATTGTATGGCTTAATCCTTCATCTTTCCAAATATATGACAATTGCTCATGCTGTGACCCCAGAGACTTTATAGGAGGATGTTTTCGACAAGCCAATTGTTTGGCCTAAATTTCAGTGTATGGAATTCTGGACATGAAAGTAAAATAGCGTCATCCATCCTATACTGCACCATTTTTGTTATTTTTTCTATTGGTGGACTGCAGTTGGCCTCTTCCCACATCCAGCCAACAGGTCCAAGACTATACAGCGTCTGAAGTGGAGTGCACATGGGGAAGCCAACGATTCGTCCATTACTTCCTATTTTACTCAAAATTCGAAATTCTCATGCGACATAGTACCACAAAACTCGTTGAAATGCCTCCCAAGAAAAGGCTATCAACAAGGCACCGACACGAGGAGAAACTACAACAGCCCAGCTGTCAACTACAACAAGAAAAAACTTCATCAACCTGACTGACTTGACTCTACACGCGACGAAAAATTATTTTACTCGAAATGTCCAGAAATGTGCAATGTCCAGAAATAGCAATTCACCTCGTACAATGCCAAACTAGCCAGTACTGTGGCAGTAGAGACTAGAGCACACTCACTTTGATTTGAGGGATTTGATGGGCTCAGATCTGACGAGCATGCATGGCGTGTTTCAAGCATCGTGCCTTCATGGATGCTGTACAACTAGTGAACTACAGTACAGTGCAAGTAGATCTGCAAAATTAATACAAAAACCTTTTGTAGCGTGAGCTATAATCATTGATAATTTGCCTATGCCTATGGCTATGGTGCTCGAAGTGTTGACCACTAAGGCCGCGGTCACACATGAAAAGCTTGCACCGCTTTTGCGGAGGTTTTTTTTTTTTTTTTTTTTTTTTTTTTTTTTTTTTTACTATATTCACATAACCAGCTCGAAAAGAATAAGGAAAGACAATGGTACGGAGACTAGGACAAACTGACAAGTAATGAGCAGGCGCTGTGCCTAGACGCAGCAGTGATGGTGGGGCATTGATGACTCTGCCGACCTGAGGTCTCGGCGTCACGGCCAAAAACACGCACCAAAAACAATGAAAAAAGAAGAAGATAGAGCTGTACAGGTAAGAAAGATGCAAAAACCCAAGGCTTAACACGAGCGATTGTGGGGGAGAAACTGTCTTAGCGTCATACTATTCATAGGGAATCGACTGCCCAGAGCCAGTTTGTGCTGCGAAGATGGCGGTAAACATTCGTTTTGAATGATTGCATTCTCTTGCTGTGGGGAGGCTGGGATAGGAGAGCGGCAGGGAGGGAGTTCCAATCGCTGATGCTGCAGTGTGGGAACGAGCGCTTCAGTGCCAGCGGGGCAGATGCAGGCAGCTGGTGTTGGAGCTGGTGGTCATGGCCACTGACAGCACCGTGCTCGCTGCGAGTTCTGGGGTTGGTAGAGATGATGTGGCGCGGTGGCAACACAGAGAGCAGCTGCGGAGGACCAGGCAAGTAGTGCAGCTTGTACAGGCAGGCAAGCGAGGCAACAGTGCGGCGGATGGCCAGGCTGGGTAGGTGTGCCCCAGGGCCGATAGCATGAAGCGCGCGGCGCTGAACATTGTTCAGACGCTGGAGGTGGCTCTGCGCAGCTCCCATCCATACAAGAGGCGCATACTCCATGACTGGTCGTACGAACGCCTTGTATACGGTCGTCCGGCCGGCGGGGGTGAGTATGTGGGCGGCTCTGTTTAGGACCCCAAGCCGTTGGCGTGCACGGGTGGCTACGGAGCGTAGGTGATCGCTGAAGGTCAACTTGGCGTCCACCTTCACACCAAGGAGGGTGATGGTGGTTGTCTCGGGCACCAGTGTGCCACCAAACAGGAGTGGGGGGAGATCTAAGCCGGTGCGTCTGAGGGTGGCTGTCATGGCCTGGGATTTGGTCGGTTCAAACATCACTTTCCATGTATGACCCCACTCGTGCAGTCGGTCAACGGACACCTGCAGTGACTGCGCGGCGACTGTTGGGGTCTGCTGGGAGGTGACTAAGCTGTACAAAGTTGTATCATCAGCATAGGCTTCCAAACTGGCGCCGTCAGCGAGAACATCTGGCGCGTCGTTGACGTAGGCCAGGAAAAGCGTTGGTCCAAGGATGCTTCCCTGGGGGACTCCAGCGGAGGTCGTATAGGTGGAAGCGGAACTACCGCAGCCGCTTTGGCGGACCACACGATGCAGCGGTCACGCATACATGTAGACTACTGTGCTCCTCAACGCTCCGCTTTGGCGGAGAGAATGCAAATGCAGCACGTCCTATGAAATTTTAGATGTTCTTGTCCGAGTTGAAGCGACCTTCGCTTGTACAAGTAGAGCTATCGTGGATCGCTGACAGGCTGCTGAATGTCTCCTGTCAAGTACACTCCCGGATTTGGGGCGCATTCACTGCGGCCCAGTACAGGTGTATTAGAATATTGCTAGTTTGGTTTACATCAATATCAAATTCAAATAGTTGTATACAGTCAACTTCGCTAATAACGACTGCGGATATAACAACAATTCGCGAATAACGACAGAATTTCCATGCCCAGAGCAAAGTCCCATCCCACTGTAATACATATAATGAGACTTCGGGTATAACGACACTTCGCGAATAAGGACACCTTTTTGACGCCCCGCCGAGTGTCGTTATACATGTAAGCGAAGTTGACTGTAGCAGGGTGTCGTTGCCTCCTTCTTGTCCGAGTTGAAGCGACCTTCGCTTGTACAAGTAGAGCTATCGTGGATCGCTGACAGGCTGCTGAATGTCTCATGTCAAGTACACTCGTGGATTTGGGGCACATTCACTGCGGCCCAGCACGGGTGTATTTGAATATTATTATTAGTTTAGTTTACATCAATATCAAATTCAAATAGTTTTATAGCAGGGTGTCGTTGCCTCCTCCATGATCCATCATCGACCCAGCGACTGTTTGTTTGTTTGTTTGTATTTATTTTGATTCGCAAGTTCAAACGGGCATGGAACCCAATAACATGAAAGCGAATATGAAAATCATAATGAGAATGAGAATTCAAATACTTTAATCT